TTATATAGTTAATACATATGGGTAATTTTATTGCTTCTACATTTTCAATAATACATTGCAAATTTTCCTCTTGGTCTGTTAAATACCCAGGACAGAAAGAAACTGAGTGTAAAAGTCACTCTAGTCTAGATTCACAAAAACAAAATCTTCACACCAAAGCAAAAAACTGGATTTAAATGAAAAAAACATATTTAGTTTTTTTAAGTTCAAAATGCAAAGCATTCAGGCTATTGCTTTCAAAATAAAGAAATGAAAGGGTAATCCTAGTAATTACCATTAAAATAGTAATGTGCTCTGTGCAAATTGCATAGTTTGGTGAGAGACAGTTCAAATGCATGTTTCCCTTCCTTGACCTATGGCAGAGTTAGGAGAACCTCTGCAGGTATCTACTCAAACCTTCTCAGGTGAACTTGCAGAATTCCCATGTATTGAAGTTGAGCAGGCTCTTTAAGTTGACATAAAATAAAAATTTAGAAGTCAATCAGCACTTCCCGTGCTTAAGAATAACTTGAAGTAGGACTTTAAAACAATACATTTAGTCACAAAATATTAAGGCCAAGTGAAATATAATTAGGGTACAGATTAGTTATTTTTAAAGGGACAAACAATTCTACTGAGTTTGACTTATCTTTGGTCTTGCAACTTAAGACTCTAGAACCGTTGGGAGCCTCTGGGAAGGAAAAATGTAAGGAAGAAGAAGAGAGGGAGGAGAAGGAGGACCAAGAAGAGTAGGAGGGGGAAAGAAAGAAAAAAGAAAACTTAAAAAAATGGTAACTTTAAGACTATCCTCCAATTATATGATGAAAACTTCCATTTAAAGTCTTAGAATCATAACATCACACAGCCATTGTAAGGAATTCTCACTGTGTGCGTGTGTGTGCACATATGTAAAAGGTTCCAGCATCAGAAACACACAATGACGGTTGTGAGAAATGCAGACACCTCATCAATAAAGAGAAAAACAGCATCTCAATTTGTCACGGAGTCAATGTGGCAACAGAAGTATTCGAACTGACTTCTAATTTTGCCTTGCATTGTTCATAACTCAAGAACAATATTTTGCCTTACTGCTGATAGATTTTACGTCGGGGTTTGGACAAATATTTTGTCTTCTGGACAACCAAGAATGACAGTTATCTGACTAAATGGCGTTTAGTGATCAGCGTGCCCACCCGTGCCCACTGCCATCTGGCCATACACCAAATGCAGCAGGAGCGTGTGTGCGCGCGCATATGCGCCCTCAGGACGGACGGACGGACACACACACACACACACACACACACACACACACACACACACACACACACACAGAGTTGAAAGCAGAGGTCAAGACCTAGGCATCTTTAATTCTTAAAAGGAACGGTAACTAAATGCGGAAAAGAATTTTTAGCTGAGTCAGTTAAGTCGGGATGGAGTTCCAATCTTTTTCCGTTTCTTCCTAGGCCCTACAGAGGACGAATCTCTAAGAAGAAATAGCTGGTGCCTTTTGGCCCCTTTTTCCTTCAGGTTGCGACTATTGCGTTCTCAGCCTCCCGCTCCAGTTCCCGCAGCTCTGCTAAGAGCCCAGGCTTTCCTTCTCTCACTATTTAAGCTTGTTTTAAAGGTACCAAAGTTGTTTATGAATCTCTTCGCCCAGTTCACAAGTGTCTCCTTCAGATCTCTAACTTGCCCTACTCTCTTCCTCCCAGAACCTCTGAACTTCTTCCTCTGCAAGCAGCGGGCTGGATTATTTCTACCCCGAAACTGACAAGTTGCCCCACTCCCGCCCCCTCTCGGTAGATCCTCCCCCACTGAGCGTCCATTAGCATAAAACTGGTTGGGTCAGGGACTGTCCCAAGGCCTCCTCGGTGCTCGCACTTTATCAAGGAAAACTAGGAGGAAAGTATTCAAGCCCTTAGCATCCTAGGGCAAAAGGTACACCTGCTCTGTTCCTGAGCTATTAACCTCAGAAAAGAAAGAAGTAAGACGGGTAAATTGCACTTAGGAAAGAGCGCGAGCAAGTTCTCTTTCTTCCCCACCTCTCCAGTTCAGCTTCCAAGAGGCTGGGGCACCAGGTCACCGCCTAAAGAATATGTTTGTGTCCCCTCACGTCTGCCCCGGGGCAAACGTACTCCATTTTTTCCTTTCAACACACACACACACACACACACACACACACACACACACACACACGCACACACACACACATACACACACACAGATGGGATAGACACACAGGCGTGCATGAGCGCACACACACACACACACACACACACACACACACACACGCACGCACAGGTCCGCCCGCACAGAGACCCCTCCCCTACACAAGCTTCCCTCGGGGAACTCCCTGCGTGAACTCCCTTGGATCACCCCTGCTCTTCTCCCAGCCCCAGGTACTGTTTCCCTGATTACTTCCTGGCACCACTCTTGGCTGCCAGACTACCCTCTTTTCTTCCTAGAGTACCCCCTATCCCGGAGCGCATCCCCCAGCTTCCTAACCCTGCGGGCTTAGGGTCACGACCTCCCTCCTCCCCTTGAGGTGCCCAGAGGCTTCCGGAGGAACCTCGTCCCAGGAGTGCACACGCGGGCAGTAGTGCCCAGATAGGGTGCCAGCCGGTCGCCAGCACGCCCAGGAAGGGGCTGCGACTCCTGGGAAAGCGCCTTCCTCCTGCTCCCCTCTCTATGCATCCCAAGCTCAGAGGCAGCCCAGCCCGAAAGCCCTGGGGAGCATCCAGACGCCCCGGCTGGCACAGAGCAGTGCGGACTGGTCCAGGAGGTCGGGCGAAGGAGACTAGCCCCGGGGACCCAGAGGAGAGGGCCGCGCTCGTCCAGGCGCGTAGCTCGCGGACGCGTGGAGCGGGCGGCGCCGGGAAGGGAGTGAGGGAAGGGCGAGGAGGAGGGTGGGAGAGGACCGGGGCGACGGGAGGTTCCCCTCCGCTCTTTACCTGGCATTGGTGCAGTCATTGTAGAGAGTCTCGAAGTCCTTCCTGGAGATGAGTTTGCAGCGGTTCACTCCGGGCTGGATGGCCCCCAGTCCCCTCAGGATGCGAACCTGTTCCACATTGCACACCACCGGCGTGATCTCCAGCCGCTTCAGCTTGGTGTAGACGGTGTGCAAGCCCCCCACCAAGTGCTTCAGAAACAGGTCGAAAGCCTGGGGCAAGCAGATCAGCTCGCAGCCCTCCACCGTGAAGGAAGCCACTTTGGCCCCCCTCAGATCCACCATTTTGCACTCATTATTCTGGGGGGTGTTTTCCACTGGGGACGGGGTTGAGTACACAGGTTTCCCGGGGAGGGGGCCGCAGCTGCTGCTGCTACTGCTGCTGCTGCTGCTGCTACTGCTGCTGCTGCTACTGCTGCTGCTGCTGCTACTGCTGCTGCTGCTGCTGCTGCTGCCGCCGGTGCTCGCGGTGATGGGGGTGCTGGAGGCGCCGCCGCCGCCGCCGCCAGCGCTAATGCCGCCGCCGCCGCCGCTCCCGGCCGCCAGGCTGGGGTTGCAGTTGCTCCCGCCGCCGCCGCCGCCTCCGTTGCCGCCGCTGCCACCGCCGCCTCCGCTGCCGCCGCCGCCGCCACCAGGAGAGGTGACTGTGGCCGCCACCGAAGAAGAAGCAGAAGAGGAGATGGGCTCCGGCCGGAACAGAGTTGGCCCAGAGGACGCCGGGGGTCCGATGGACGGAGCCGGAGACGAGGTCGCCGAGGAGGTGGAGGTGGTGGTGCCGGAGGAGGAAGCAGACGTGGAGATCGGGGGTTGAGGGGGGACCAGCTGGGTCGGAGGGATCAAAGCCGCCGGCACTGCCATGGTCACATATAAGGGGAAACAGAAGGAGGAGAAGCGAGGGGGAAAAGTTGCCACACACACCCCCCAGAGGGGAAGGGGGAGAAAGAGGGACAAGGATCGAGGGGGGCAGCGACCACAACCACTATCGGAAGGGACCCCGGGCTGGAGAGGAGAGAGAGAGAGAGGGAGAGAAGGGGAGAAAACGAGGTGAGGGTAAGAAAAGAGCGAGCGCTGGAGGGGCGAGCGCGAGAGGCGCTCGAGAGAGAAACGCACAAAAGTGTCCCGCAAGTCGAAATGCGAGTCCTCTCCCGGGGCTGGGATCGCGGGCTGCTCTGGAGGGGGGGTGGGTGGGTGGGTGGGGGACGGGGAGGGTCGGCTGGTGGTACGTGGGTCCCGCTCTAGCACAAAGTTAAGGATGAAGGTGAAAAGGAGGAGGGTTGAGGGACTTGGGTTCTCCCTGGCAAGTACATTGATCAAAGATTGAGAGGGGAATGACAGAGAGAAAATGAGCTGAAAGTGCAGGCTGCCGGCTGGACGAGTTGTTGTTGTCACACGGTGCAGAGGGGAGGAGCTCCGGATACTTGAAATACCCTTTGAAGCCGCGAAAACCTCACTCACTAGTATTAACCCAAATTATCCAACCAGGAACTCGGGAGCACAGACTCCGAGAGCGCGAGACGGAGGAGGGGAGGGGGGTAGGAAAGGAGGGAGGGTACAGGGAGAAAGAGTGGGAGGAAAGCCCTAGAAAAGCAGGGGCTCAAGAGTGGTGCTCCGAGGGAGGGACGGAGGGACGGAGGAAGGGAGGGAGGGAGGGAGGGAGGGAGGGAGGGAGGGAGGGAGGGAGGGAGGGAGGGAGGGAGGGAGGGAGGGAGGGAGGGAGGGAGGGAGGGAGGGAGGGAGGGAGAGAGAGAGAGAGAGAGAGAGAGAGAGAGAGAGAGAGAGAGAGAGATCTACTTCTCTCGCTTTGCTACCGTTACATCGCAAGCCTTCTACTCTTTGGCTTCCAGGAAGACTCCTAGCTTTCCCCCACACACCCCAAGAAAGGTTCTGAGCAATCGCCTGCCAACTGAAAGAGCCCCGGCTCAGCTGCCAGCTCACCTTCAGGGATTTAGGATAAAACAACCGCCCCCCCCCCACCCCGCCCTCGTGCGCGTTTGTGCAACGAGTTACAAAAGGAAACACATCCCCAGCTCATGACTGTGGAGCAATTATCATTGGAGGAAAATCACATGTAAGCAAAGTGTACTATCTTATGTATCTGATGCTTTTTCCTATATTAAAAATATTTATATAAAGATAGAGAGATTTCAGGATAGTTTTCAAGTTGCGAAGGAAAAAGTCGCTTAAGAATAATGGGATGCTCCTGATAGAATTCCTTATTTCCTAGTAGACTTGGAGATACATTCTTGTCATGAGATAGGTTAGGTGGCTTAAAACAACTTCCCTTTCACCCCCCCCCCAAAAAAAACAGGTCAGACATGTCTACTATACCTAGAAATTTCAAAGAGATCAGGCTTCCTTGAGGATTAGAAAGTGAAATACAAAAACACGCTGCTGTTTCTTACCCAAAACTCTAATTAATTCACCTGTATTGCACAGTAATCAACTGTTATCCTTTAGTACCCAAGGCTAGTCGCTAGCATGTTATTTAAGTAACACAATAATTATGGGGTTTCTGTCATATCTGGAAAGTACTGCTGTATTTTGGGAACGTCTTTTTGGGTTTGTCAGTGAGAATGTGTTTGTAAATAATGAGAACAGAAACTAAGCTTCCTGGCTGTCTTGTAAAGACAGAAGGGGTGGTTGTGCTTTTGAGCTGAGTGAGAGCTTGCCCTTTTCCTCCTCTGTCTTCTCTAACTTGTTGCATGAAGGTATTTATTCGAGGATATTTGACCAGTGTATGATCTGAGCATAGGTCATGTCTCTGTGTTGCTTGTATCTCTAGGAATCTGGAATAGTTAGGCTTTGAACCTGGCTACCCACTTTCAGAGATTTTCTAAGATGTGAAACAAGGAACTAGCATTTGGCAGATTTAAAAAAAAAAAAAAAAAACTATTAGAGCAGACTCAGTTTTGAGAAATTTTATGATGGAATTTTTGTCATTTGGGTGTTGAAATTATTATCACTTTTCTTTTTATCATTTTTAACCGGTTGAAGTTGTTTAGTGTCAGATGGTACAGGAACCCTCTAAAAAGAAATATGACACCATTGACTTACTCTTTAATACTAAACTTTGGGGGGGCAAAATAGTTGAATTGGGAGGCTTTCTTAAAGTTTAAGAATTCAGAAAATTATTGCATAAAAGTTTATAAACTTCTACAAAGATAGGTGAAGTGTCCACAGCTGTTTGTTCTAGTTAACCAGTGTACTTTTACATACTGAAATATTTATTAATTTTTTCATTCACCAAACCTACTCTTAACTAAAAGTAAGGATTCAATATATATCACAAATATCAAAATATAGTTTAGAAAGATTACCATTTTTCAAAATGTCAAATTACTGTATTAATGAAACGTAACACTGCAAAAAGTGTTAAACTCTAAAAGAAAAAAAACTAATTTATTTTTGAATGTCATTCTTAACTTTAATAAACTCCAATGTGCTTTTAAAATGCTAAATTATGTAGTGTTTCCAGTCCTAGCCCTACAGATAGAAAAGGGGAATTAAATGCCCAAAGCCTGAACTTACAATTCTCATTCTTACATTTCCTCAAACTCTCACTCATCCAAAATCTGCCACACTCTAGAGCCACAAACAGGAAGCAATGATGCAGACCAAGCCATAATCCCACCCTGCTTCAGCCAACTTCAAATATTCTGTAGAGAAACGTGTGCTCGGAGCACATGCTTCTCTTAGAAGTGAGGCTTGGGAACATATTCCTCTACCTATATGGTACTCGTCCCCTCCCCCCACCCTAGGTTCCTAAACCTTTTCAGGGAGCCACCACTTGCTCCTTAGATCAAACAATAGGGTTAGACAAGTCAAATGTTGCAAAATAAAATATCCCGGAAAGAAAGCCCCGGAAAAAAGCATGTTCTTTTCATCTTTTTCTTTCCTACTTTTGGAGATACTCTTTCCTGTGATGAAGAAGGCAAACCGTATTTAACACAGCACACAGATCAACTTAGGAAAGGTTTCAAATTCTCACTGCAGCGCATCTTGAGCATTGAGAGCTTTTGTCTTGTTTATTGTTTTACATGTCTTGTTATTTAAGGGACTCTTCGTCCATCTCATCTTTCCTAACCTTCATTCAATTTGCATAAGCAAAACTCAAAGTACTGTAACTGATATTAGAAAATTCTCCCTGTGTTTTGTGAAGACGTATTGTGCTGAAATCAATAAGACTGTTTAAAATTCAAAGACCTGCAAATCGTTCTGTTTGTCCTTTGATAGGGCCTGTGCTGATTAAAATGCTACCAAGAAAGCTTAATTGCTGCACTAATTAAGAAGTCTTTAATTTCTTTCCTAGGATATCGTTTGAAGCTTAGCTTGTACAGTTCAGGGAAGGTATTTTCTTCCCTCCTTCTGCCCTCTCTGGCCCCTCCCCTTCTCTCCCCTCCCCCTCCTTCCCCCATTTGAGGAAACCGGTAAGAATGGGAACTAATAAAAAGAATGGTCTCATCATCTCTTACTTAACAAAAATCGGCACAGGATACAGAGTTCAGCGCAGTATGAAATGCAGTTTTGAGAAGAGCTGTAAGCTTTGCAGGAGACAGTGAGAAAATACAAAGTAGCTGTGGCAGCTAAAGTCTCGGTGATTACCTGAATGACAACAGGCACTTTAGTGATGATGAGGGCATCCTATTTGGTTAAAAGGCTCAGTGGCGAATAGGGACACATAAAAACATACTTTCACAACCTGTGGTTTCAAAAGGGAAGAATAAATGTGTAAAAAAGATGGACTTGTAGTTGGGAATTGGTAAGTATCATTTTATTTGAGTATAAAAGGGTATATCTGTGGGGATTTATTTTTGACCCTCTTTTATAACTCAGGGAGGCACAGAACTGTATTACATCTATTCCGTTCTTTTCTATTGATATGTTGTCTTCAGGGATTTCTCAAGTGGGGAAACTGACTAAATGATTTCACAAAGCTTTCTCTGTAATCAATAGTCATTTTTTTTAGATTTATTCATGTTGCATTATAATTCTGGTAAATGACTGCAAAGAAGAGATTATAAGAAAGATACAAATATTGACAGATTTAGGATAAGTCATGTCTTCAGTTTCTTATGGCAACTGGTACAGTGTTTTTTAAAATTGAAAATCAATTATTTCTAACAAAATAAGAAAATATAGAGTAACTCAAAGACAACGTATATCTGAATACATTCCTTTAATATCTCACAATGTTCGGAAAGCTTTGCATTTATTGCTTTTTTATGGTATTTCTAAATGAAAGAGAAGCAATGTAGGCATATATGAAAAGGCATACACCAGGAGGGCAGCATGAAAGGTGCTTCATTATAATTTGATTCTTTCAATTTTTCGCAAGGTCCATTAGAAGCATGTATGTTAGAAATTACAAATGTATGCTATAGATCTATACTGGATTCCTTACAGAGGCAGGACAAGGAGAAAACCTGCTTAATAGATTCCAAGGCAGATTTACCATTCCAAGCACGACGTCACTCTAATTATGTTTACTCTAATTGAAAGCAAGGTTTTTTTGGAATCTGAAATTACTTTCAGATTTTTTTTTTTAAAATAATGCAAGTGGATCAAATGTTGATCACAAGCATTTCAATCTTTCAAAATGTATTGGAAAATTAAATGAAAAGTAGAGTTTGGTACAAACAATGCCCCAGGGCAAAAAACAACTAACACTAGATTTTCCAGTCCAGCCATAACACAAATCAATTGGAGCACACTTCTATGGCCAGACTGCCAGATTGTTATGACTGCTAATTCACTCAATCAAAGAGTGCATTAGCACACCCGGCACAAACAGCTTTAACAATGGAGTGCGTTTCTCAACAATCCTAAGATACACCACAATGGCTAAGTAAAGGAGACCATTTTTACATCTGTGTATTTACTAATGGACCAGTTTCCTTAATAGAAATAATAAAAAAAGAAGATAAACTTCAGCCATGGGTTTATTAAAGAGCTATCAGAGTTTGGCAAATCTAGAAAGATACCAGAGTACCAGTAGTTCACTGACTTTGTTAAATGTTTCTCAGGAGAGAGTCCAAAATTGATGTTTGCATTTCAGTAGTAAATCATTGAAGATGGAGAAATTATGCCAAGTAACTCTCTCAAGCCTTTTTAACTCAGACACACAGCCTTGCCAATCAGCCCCTCAAAAAACCTTCACTACCTGAAGCACAAACTTCCGAACTTTTACAGTTTCACTCTTTTTCCTCCCCATTTTCATCACTCTGCCTGACTTTTGGTGGCTTTCATATCCCTAGTCTCCCTTTCTGTTCAAATTCTCTGCCTCTGCTTAAGAACCAGGAATGGGATTCTTATCTTACTGTGGCACTCTCTAATGAAAAGCAGACAATTTGCTGGTGAATTACCCAAAAGACAGAAGGTGGGAAGCTGAATAGAATTATACCCTGTGACTTTACGTACCGATTTTGATACTTAATGATGAAATGGTTAAAATGATTATAAATAGCACTTGCTATTTTATTAACTACAGGGAAATGCAGACTTAGTCCACAAGCTTCTTGAATGGACATGGTAATCATCTGTTTGCATTAGTGTAGATCCAATTCCAAATAATTCATTAGGAGAACACCATTCCTCCCTTGCTCCTTTTAAGCCCTTTCTGCTTGTTCAGAATAAAGGTCCCAAGTGTTAGAAACTACTTTTCTGGCTATGCAGCAGGCAATAAGAAATGTCCACACTCAGGTGTGGGAAGAGATGGCAGTGGCAAGAAGAAAAGCAAATGAACAAAAAATCATCGTGCAATTTTTTTTTCAGCTTCTAAACTGCATCACTCCCAGGGTAACTAGTCAATTCTTTGTGATGAATTAGTTATACTTTCCTGTAAGTACCCTCTTCCAGGTAAGTGTCCTCTATTCCATCTGTAGGGTGGTATGAAAGGCTACCCAGCCAAATAATTCTTACAATAGCAAGCACAGTAAGATCATTGTACAGCTGAATGGAAGCAGCAACAACAATAATATAAATTCAGCTTATTTTTCTCCACCTCTTAAGTCAGGCCATCATCCTGAAAATAATGTAGGCTGGACTATATGAAGTTCAGACAAACAGATATTTAAATCCCTCCTTTCCCACTAGATATTGGGCCTTTAATCGTACCTTTTCATATATGTTTTCTAATTGTTGGGCTTTTTTCTCCTTAAATAAACAAGATCTGTATTATGGGATGTAAATTACTTAAAAGATAAGTAGTTAGGAATATTATGAGAAGAGAACATTTTATCTACTATAGTGCAAAGATAAACTTAATATTGAGGCATAAATTATAGTATACTTTTATCACAATAGAAGAAAATTGCTTGACTGTGTAAGTTTCTTTTTTTAGTCGTTTTACTTTATTTTCTTAGCCTTTTTTCCCCTTTTGGTGGCTTTATGAAATCAAAGAAGGGGTTGTCAACCAACAGATAGCCTATAAAATTGTTTTATTTCAAGACAGGACTTCCAAGGATTTCTAAAAAGAATAAACTGTTTATTTATTTATTACTTTTCAGAACAAAGAGATGTTTTAAAAGTTGAAAGGACAACAATTGCTACCTCCTGGAAGCCTGATCTTGTATGTCAAGTTTCAGCCCAGAGCAAATTTTTACAACAAGTTATAAACCCCTGTAACAGAGGGTTTATTATAATGGAAGTGCTGACACAATCTTAACTATAGTGTTGTAAACGGCTATGCTATAATATCCATTAAGCAGAAAGAAAAATAAGCTGGCTGATCAATAATTTATACAAAGAGTACCAACTGCAGACATAATAACTGTAATGTTTGCAAAGCAATCTCTCTGCTCTCCAGGCTTAACAGTGAACTCAAACTAGCAACGCTGTTAATTTCCAACTCCTACAGATAAGAATACAAACAAATTACTTAAAATTATATTTTGCTCAACATTTAGCATGCCTCAATGGGATAAAATAAAATTTAATTATGATGCAACTTGTGCCGGATGCAAGGCTGCTTTGTTTTCCAGCACATTTTATTATGAGAAGACGTTCATTTGGAACATCAATTATGGGGAAATAGTATGTTTCAATGAGTTTACTTGGGTCAGTCAGGTTCATCTAAGAGTTATTCAGACATGGAAACTGATTGACAATGCTTAACTTCAAAGAAAGTTCGAGTTTAGAGAGGCACAAGCTGAAACACAATACTGCATGCCCTGATCCAAGTTAACTGTCAGTAAAAACACACCTTGCCATTAGAGTTAATGGGGAAAAAAGTCATTGGTTTGGAAATGTGGTCATCATTAGTAGCCAGTGAATGTGGGAGTGCTTTTTCAATGGCATGCCTTGTTTTTTTGTGGGAACATTGTGTGACATTTCTACCTATTAGACCTGAACCACTGAATGTGAGCATTGTTTTCATTTCTATAAAATTAATTTGTCTATATTTTTGTTGACATCAGTATATATCTAGTAATTGCTTCTTAAAGTATCTGAATATGGACATGTTATGTTGATGACTTCATTTTTAATGGGCGGCTTTTAAGACAGAAGTACCTTTGACAGGAATTTGAAAAGTTAAATAGGAGAATTCACAATTCCAAACTGTTCCAGATACACCACTGGAAGTAGGAACAGACTGAAGGTTCTTGAGGCTCACATCCCTGCTAGTCTTTTTCCCTGTTCATTTCCTGGTGGTGGAATTAAAGGGTAGGGGGGATGTGGAGCCCAACAGAATGAAGAGACTTTGCTATCAAAGCTGTAAAATGGTGTATTACCCTGTGAGCAACTGCGCTTGGAAAGGAACCAGTAATTTATATGAGAAATGTTTAAGATTGCCTGCTCACCCAGTGATCCATGCCAGGTCAGTTTCAGTAATGCTAGAAAACAAAAGGAGGTGCAGATCACTGGAAAAGAGACACCTTCCTTGCCTTAAGAGCTTGTGAAGGGAAGCACTAAAATGTCCTTTTCTCAAATGAACTGATCATTACCATTTAAAATCCTGAGGGCTATGAGACTGGGGAGGGGAGAAATAATTTTTCTTTTGATTTAGCAGGGCTCTGAAATGCTGGCATTAAGGGGGAGGCATTTTGTTGTGATTGTATCATGGTCCTATGCTTCAGTAAAGATTAAATCTTGAAATTGAGGATATATTTTGAAACAATGAAATGGGGGGGAAAGGTGGGCACAATGGCTCTCTGAATTCATTTGGCCACTTTAAACTTAGACACTAACTGCCCTAAAAAATTACCAGTACAAATAGTAATGAAACTTTCTAATAACGTCTTTGCCAGACTCTGTGAATAGATTTTTCTCAGACCAACTCCTCACCCCTTTAATTTTCATGAGGAATATGAGACATTGCCAGGGTGGTGAGGTAGGAATGGACATCTTCTGAGACCCCTTTGCTTCTAGTACAGGTCTAAGTATACCAGAGGCCCCCTCTTTGTTAAATGGACACATGTTTCCTTACATGCCTAAATTAATTTTAGTTTTTAGCTTTATTTCATCTTTATGTCTAAACATGTATATTCCTCATGTAATTCAGATCTATCATTTCCTCTCTGGTTCAAAATTCAGCATATCTCAGAATCCTTGCTGGCTTTACAGCTGGTTTTCTCCTACCATGAGCTCCAGGGATTGAACTCATATTGTTAGGCTTGCAGGCCAAGTTCCTCCCCCAAAGGAGCTAGCCAGCTAAGCTGCCATTGTTGCTTCATATCTGCATTATAGCGATTTTCCCCTGGTATTCTGACAGGGAAAACGATTATTTGACATTTTTTTTTTTTTTTTTTTTTTTTTTTTTTTTTTTTTTTTGGTTTTTCGAGACAGGGTTTCTCTGTGTAGCTTTGCGCCTTTCCTGGAACTCGCTTTGGAGACCAGGCTGGCCTCGAACTCACAGAGATCCGCCTGGCTCTGCCTCCCGAGTGCTGGGATTAAAGGCGTGCGCCACCACCGCCCGGCTTATTTTACATTTTTACACTTACTGATATGCTTCATTTCAGGGGGTCTTAGCCAAGTTTACTCATGGTAGATATCTAGTACAGTGCTAAGAACTTGAGTATTGCTCAATAAATGTCACCTGGGTAATTAAAACAGCGTTTTCCATGTGTTGCCTTCCATCTCCTTAGCCACCAAATGACACAAACTGCTTGTTCTTGATATCATGCATGGTCTCATCCAGACTGGACACACCAGAAACAAATGCTTATCCAGTTCTCTTGTCCTCTACAAGTAATCTGGGAAAAAAAAATCTTAAAGTAAAATGTGGAGATACTTTGATACCCAAGCTGGGTATCAAAGATCTGAAAAATAGAATCTTAGGCCAGTAAGCAGGACTTCCTAGGATCCGTGCAGAAAGAACTGTCTTTTCTATGTCATCAGAAAAGAGTCTTCACGAAGACTGAAAACAGGAGTTCATCCTGCTGTCACCTGAGACCATGGGGTAGATTCTTGGGTGCAACTTTACCTCCCAGACGTGAGCACACAAAGGGTATATGCAAAGGTTTGTGAAGTGTTTACTTTGAAGTCACTCTCATTTTAATGTGCACAGCCATCTGCTCCACAAAGCACACTCAGCTTTGCATGCTGTGTGTTGCTTGCTGAGAATGCAAAGAATAGAAGGGTTTCATCCTGACCATCCTTTCATATACAGTATCTGCTGTGTCGTTGCTGTAACAGGATAGAGAGTTTGCGTGAGGATAGCATAGAACGTTATTCAGTCAGGACTGCAGACACTGAGCTGCTGTTCCCACAATGACCATGCTATAGACCACATGTGGTCCAGAGCTCTTGGCCTTCACGATTAGGAGCAATTTCTGAAATATTCTCCAAAGGATTCTGTAGACAACCCTCTCAGTATGTGTGCATCAGATCCATCTTCATACAGGACCCCTAATCATCTGAAAGAAGAAATTGTCGAGGAGCAATCTAGGAGAATATCCCCTTATTGTCACATCTAGCTGAGTTGTAAGCTAAGGATTGATTATGCAGTGAAGTAATCACTGACCGTCACTCCCCCCAATATCTCCAAAGGAGACCTTTATCGAGGAAGCAGAGATAAAAAAGTTTTCATTTTTCATTTCAGTGTAAAGATAATAGAAAAGTAAAAGACCACATAGTTGGACCCACCTTACTATTTTTCTGTATGTTTCAAGCCTACATGGATCCCCAGTGCCTGCTTAGAGGTTAAGCACTCATGAGATACAATCCAGCATCACTGGAATGGATGACCTCTCCTGCCCTAAAAGACAACTTTTGGAATCTTGAAAAAAACATTTAACAAAAGTTTGATTGGTGGCAAAATCCCTAGTAGTTCTTGAAAATGTTTTGTCATTCCCGGCTTCCTTTGGTTAGGATACAGCACAGTCCCCCACCAAACACACCCCCATAAAAGTTACCTGTTGATGTGCTCTGTAAAATTGGGCCTTAAAGGAGCAGCATGTGGTGTGCACACTTAGCTTTCCTGTAGCCTTTCACTAGTCCTAATCTGCTTTTCCTTGGGGAGCTATCTAGACTCTTTCTCCAATTTTTCATCCTGATTTAAAGGAAGATCACTTTCTTTCAGCAGATGATTTAGGGAACACTCGCAGCTATTCCTAATAGAGCCATAGCAAGCCCTCCTGCTGTCCCATTTAAATTGTCTGAACTGCTTGGCTTTTTCATTTACTCTCCCTTTAGAGGGAAGCTGCAAAGTAAGGGAGACTTGAATGGCCTGTGTCTTCAAAGAAGTCTTGAGCTCCGGATACATAGTGCATGAAGTCACGGAACACCAGGGAATGTCAGCAAGGAGGCAGAACTGCAGGACAAGGGACATTCTAGGTATTCTCTTTTCAGCTGAGCAAGAGAATGGGTCACCTTCTCCAAGACACAATTTGACTGACTTGGAAATCTGTCTGATTACAGCATTAGGACAAACTTCAGCCTGTTGTAAACGATGAGTTCTTTTGTTTTTGTTTTTGTTTTTTTCATATGAGTGCATTGATGGACAAATTAGCCAAAGTCAGTATTAAAGAAGAAATCTACTTTCTAGCAGTTGCTGGTAAGAAATCCAAAGCTTTTGCTTAATACAACATTTTTTTAAAAGGAACTAGCAACAAACTGATTTTGGTAACTAGGGTGCGTTTACACTAACTTGTTTGTAGTGTATGTCAAGTCAAGGACAGAACAAACATACTCAAATACTCTAGTCCAGTATTAGCAACTGGACATTTCATTGGTTCTGAAAGTAAAATATTAACTTAAAATATAGAATTAACAATATATGATTGATGAGCTTTGTTGGAAATATGATGTGTTAGGTGGCATGTCTAACAAACGAGCAGTATTTCACTTGAAAATATAAAGAGAAAAATTAGATCTTCTTTTTTTATACCTTGCTACTCAAAAATAACTATCCTTAATATTTTGATTTTATTATCCAAAATAGTTTCCTAAAAGCTTTCACTATTTGTCAGATTTCCTAAGAAGCCACATAATCAGGAACTGTTAAGACCAATATACTAAAAATTATTTGTACATATTGGACTTCTATGTGTTATAATTAGCCGTCACACAATGCAAACCATTCTAAAATCAACATCAAACTACTGCTACACTTGACGCCCTTTTGATGTATATAGTGCTTACTTTGTGATGATACATTTTAAGGCAACATTTTCCGTGGAATGGTACTCTTGTTCTCACAGCAAAATGATCTTTTATTTTAACAGTATGATCTAAAATAAGATAATAAAATTTCACTTGATGATTCAGCTGTACACAAATGGCCTCAAGGAACTGTTTTATATATGTATACAAGCTCATGTGCCAATTTTTAGAATTCTTTAACATTTACTTAGAATTAGTCTATGATTACTGTGTTTTTGGTGGCTAAAAAACATATTTATTGTTCCTATCTAAGTAACTCTGTCCAAAAGCACTTACTAACCATAACAACACAACAAAGATTGGTTACGTCAACACTGTACTTTATCATTGGCCTTTGTTTTCTAATACAATGCTTTAAAAATATCCTCGGCTGTATAGAGGACATTGTTGCAAAAAGGCAGCTCAAAACTTGTCCTTCTCTTCTCTTTCATTGATCTGTTGCCTCTTAGGCAATATGAACAGCTGTCTCCAGCTCACCCACAAGCAAGCTGAACATAATAATAAGGTCATGTTAGTATCCTGTATCTAGCAATGATTGGACAGAGGATGCCAGCTCTTTTTCATTAAAGATAAGGTAACAAAGACACCCGAAACTGGGTCCTGAAAACAGACGAAATTGCTGCCTTAAAGGTTCTTGTTCTGGTACCCACTGAGAGTCTCTTTCACATGGGTTTCCACTAAGGTGAAGGTGCCCTCTGTAGGAGACTCCCAGTAAATGCTGCTGTTTTACATTTAGGTGACATCAGGCCCGTTTCCCCCCTCCCTTCCAGCTTACAAATAAATGAATAATCACAGAACTCTGCAAGAGCACAAGTTTAAATTCTATAAATCTAAACACGAAACACTATCGAGTCTAAAATCAGCTATGTAAATCTCGTGAATTTTCAAAGTAAGCAACTCTGAACACTGAGAAAGCTGCTCAGCACGTTATAATTTGCTATTTACTGGATATAATTGTGGAATGCAATAAGGTGGGTTTTGTAAATTCAGAGGTGTTGTGAGAAACAGAAAGACAGGATGTCCGGACATATCCCAGTGAACACTGTATCTACACAGAAGCAGCATCCACACACTGAAAGATACACACTGTCCAATAAATACACCTCCCCAAAAGGTCTCTTCTATTCTTACAAAGGTTACCATAATGCAGATTCATTATCAGTCCCACTGGGTAGTATATAGCTTGGTAAGAAATTGCTTTTGTTAGCATGCTCATGGAAAAAGATTAGCTATTTCATCAGATCTCTTGGGGCGATTTGAAAATTTGGGGATTCTCTCTGTAATTTAAAATGGAAGTTAAAGCCAATCTGAATAGACTAGGGAAAAATCTCACAAATTAAACCTCTCCATCTGGAAGTTTCTTCATCATTCACTGCGAAAATACAAAACTCAAGTGACATTTGTGCCAAGCAGTAGAGATTTCATCAGGGTTGATAAAATTGTATATATATATATATATATATATATATATATATATATCCAGGTTTAATAATTAGAGATTTTCTTTGCAAAAAAAACTTAAAAGTACTGTAGACTGCTTAGTGGTGTTTCAGACTTGATTTTGGTCTGTATTAACTTTGCATGTTATGTTCACCCCTGATGCATTTATGTCCATTTTTATGACTATGACTTGGGCCACTATGGAATGTATACATGAGAGTCTAGTCTTGTCTGTATTGGAAGTTAGGGTGTATTCAAGAAGACACAGAGGTGAAAGAGAGGGGAACAGTTGCCACTTTCTAGTATATAATTGAATTTATTCTGAACTATCAGCTCAAACATCCCTTTCTCTTTAAGTCTGTGTCTGCATGGTACCAGAACCAGGTTATCAACGGCACTATTTACAGAGTGGCTACTATTTATGTTGGGCGCTTCCTCTGGATTATTCACTTAATCCTCTTGAGAAAGATAATTATCCTTTTTTTTTCCTTTTTCATTCGTGTGTATGTGTGTGTGTGTGTGTGTGTGTGTGTGTGTGTGTGTGTGTGTTCTACTGTGTGAATGGACCTGTGTGTGGGGGTGTACAAAGAGAATTGAACTCGATTTGGAGAGTCTTCCTCTGTCGATAGCCACTTTGTTCTCTGAGGAAGGATTTCTCAGTTGGCTCCAGAGCACTGATAAGGCTAGTCTGGCTAGTCAGCTTTCCCTGGAGATCTACTGTGTCTGACTTCCAAGCACTGGGAATACGGGGAATGCAGGCAGGTCACATTGTCCATCCAGCATTTATTGGGTTCGGGGGATTCAAATTCAAGTTCCAACATTTACTATGTGTATAAATGTTCTAACTGCTGAGCCACCTTTCCCAACCTAGTTATCCAACACACACACACACACACACACACACACACACACACACACACAGAGAGAGAGAGAGAGAGAGAGAGAGAGAGAGAGAGAGAGAGAGAGAGAGAGAGACAGACAGACAGACAGACAGACAGACAGATAGACAGACAGACACAGAGACACAGAGACAGAGACACAGAGAGAAGAAAGTGGTACTTAGGAGGTTAAAACCTTTGCTTATCTACACCAGGATCTCTGTTCCTGTCCACTATGAAAGGCTCCCTTCTGATGTCACTTACTTTTCCACCTATCTGTCATTCACATAATCAAAGCAGTTGTGATCCTGTCTTTCTACCAGAGCTGTCTGCCGAATCCCCAGCCAGTACTAACTCAGCAATCTGCTATCCTACTGGATGACTGAACATTGCTAAAGACTCTCCCACAGTGATGCCTATTGATATCCTTCATTACTCATGACTCGGACTTGTAAGCCTTAAAATTTAAGCTAGTTTATCCAGAAAGGGGCCTGAATAAGCTCACATCATCATTTTAATGGAAGGTTAGGGCTCCAGTTAGTCTCAAGGGCGACTGAGACCAGAGATTCAGACACCCCATCAAATCAGCTCTGATCTCAGAAGACACACGTGTCAGGGTGTCTTCAGTTTCTCTGTCTGGATTATGCACAGCTAGATTTATGCTTCTAGCATCAGTCATGCTCAATTCTTTTAATTCCAGCACCAGAGATACACTGTGCTCTGCCTCCTTGATACTCAAGTTAGGAACCAAAGGGAAAGCACTCTCTGGGTTACCTTGAGACAAACGTTCATTTGTAGATGAAGAAACTAGACAAGAAGAATATCAAGTACTGAGTGCTGGTATTGAAGGCATGGGCCATCACTGCCCTCAGGTGCTGAGAATGAATGTGTGGGATGAGATGTAACATGCATGGAGTTTAAAACCTAGTGTGCATATGACCTAAAAAAGAGTTACCTTTCTCTTCCTCGGTTTATTTACTACAAAAAGAGACAGTAGGTGTATCTAATTTGCTGCATTCTCCTGATGGCTAAATGAGCTACTATGTGGAACTTAGAATAACAGTTCCCTCCTATTGTTAATAATAATTATATGGGGCTTTAGGATTGGTCCAGCTTGACTCAGAATCTCAAAGCTTCAATTCTATGGCCAATGGGGCAGAGTAATTTGAAGATTAGGTTTGAGGGATAGTCTTGACATCTAGGTCTCAGGAATTATTCAGGAGGGAAATGCTTTTACAGATGAAAGAATGAAGTATGCTACCAAGACAAATCAATGGATGTCTGTTATACAGAAATCAAAAGTGCTGGAGTGCAGACCAAGAATGAAGTCTGGTGAGAATACTGAGTGCCTGTGAGAAAAATTAAAAAAAATAAAAAACAAGAGTCTTGTGACCTCAGTTTCTTCAAATCACAGTACTGTTCTTGAAATGTGTCATCTCATGGGGATGTTGATGATCCTCTCAGGGGTAGCAGATACGAGTAAGTTTACTTCTGCTGTTATTCATATACCTCTACGGGTAAAAACATGTTCTGCAGTGTGTGACTTGTCCTTACGATTTTAGTCAGGTGATTGTTCTTAACCCTCAGAATATAAATTGTCCGATGCACTAAATAAAGTTGACTAATTGCGTGAGACTTAGTCCTCCTCATTTTTAGGCCCCTCTCTCCCAGATTTACACCACAAACTAGAGAGGCAAACAAAAAGTATACAACCTCCAATGTAAGTAGAGGGTTACTAAACAGTATTTTCCCTTCACGTTATCAATGAGGTCCATGTCTTTCTTCCTTCACTGATGATTCTATCCTGTCTTATATTTTTCACCATGTGTTTGTGTGTTTGTGATGTGCATGTTTACAAGCATACGTGTGTGTGTGTGTGTGTGTGTGTGTGTGTGTGAGAGAGAGAGAGAGAGAGAGAGAGAGAGAGAGACAGAGAGAGAGAGAGACAGAGAGAGAGAGAGAAAGAGACAGAGAGAGCGAAAGAGAGAGAGACAGAGAGACAGAGAGAGACAGAGAGAGAGAGAGAGACAGACAGAGAGAGAGAGAGAGAGAGAGAGAGAGAGAGAGAGAGAGAGAGAGAGAGAGAGAGAGAGAGTCTGTGTACACACACGAAATGTGGGTGGAGGATGGACACTGAGGTCAGGAATCTTCTATCGTTTTCCGCCATACTCATTGCGGCAGGTGCTCTCGGTTCAACCCAGAGCTTTCCGATACACCTACCCTAGCTAGCCAGCCTGTTCTGGGAATCACTTGTTTCTACATTTGGAGCTCTGGAATTCTGTTTGGCTCTAGGGACAGGCCCCATGCATGTGCAACAAGCATTCTAACCACCACGCCATCTCCCACAGCCTTCTCAGAGATAACTCTACAACTTCAAGTGTGAGGTATACATCCTCAAGTCTGCATTCTGTATTGACTCTCCCATCAGAAGAGGAACGTTAAGATCCTCAGGTCCCTGCCGTTTCCTGTGTGAGTGTTTTCAGTCTCTCAGTTGACCCCTTCTCCTTTAAGTCTACCATTTTGTTAATAGATAGTGTGATAATCCACATCTATGTTTTTTCCTTGTCTACTTATTCTATTATTATTTACCGAGAACTAATCCGCTATCTTATGAAATCTATTGAAATTATTGTCAAGAATTCTTATTCTTAGATTATTCATTTAAATTTTTGATTAGTCTTTGTTTTTTATCTTAGTTAGAGAATAGTGAAAAGGGGTAAATACACATATAACAAGCATTTGTTTCTTCATTTGATTCAATTTGGATAAATCTGAAGCATGTATAATTAAGAGGGACTTAAATGACCAAACATACTGCCTTAGCTATGCTTGTATAAAAATGCAACTCAGAACTTAATGACAGAATCTCTACTTCATTTAGTTCGTTTTTTTGTTTTGTCTTTTGTGATACTGAGGATTGAACCAAGGACCTTGCATATGTTAAGCAGACACTTGACCCTTGTATTTTGCCGGATGAGGCAGGGGACCTAGACTGACTCCACTGCTCTGGATTAGCTTATGTAGGTCCTGTATTCTAAATGGCTTTGTTATTACCTACTAACCAGGAAACTGAAACCACAATTGGGCTGAGCTTTTACCAGGCAGTTGTGCTGGTTGTGAATAATTTGGGACGCATAAAATAGCAGATTAGTGGACGTAAGCAAAATCTTCATTAGGTGCTATGAACTTAATTAGTCTCTCCAAATTCACACATTGAAATTCAGACCTCTGGTATTACTGTATTAAGACGAAGGGGGTCTTAGTACGTAGTTAAGGTTAAACAAAACTGAAAGGATGACGTCTTAAGGTCTCTCCTCCTCTCTTTCCCTCACCTCTCATTCCCTCTCCACTTACCTTACTTGCCTCTCCATGCCTCCCATAAATTTTCTCTCTTGCTCTTCTCTCTTCTCTCTGCTTTTTTGGGTATACACCAAGGAAAAACAACATAAGAACAAAGAGAAGAAGGTCATCTATGAGGAAGAATGTAAGCTCTCACTGGAAACCCGATTATCAGACACCTTGTTCTTGGACTTTCCAGCTGTTAGAAGAGTGAGAAATAACTTTCTGTGGTTTAAAAGACCAGGTCTGTAGTACCATCTCACAGCAGCCTTAGCACATTAATGCACTAAGGCATATACCTAGGGGTGGTCATTTCGTGATACTAGGGTCTATATGTCAATTTTATGGGGTCAGAAGAAATTGATTTTCAAATTATTATATGAACTTATATTGCAATAGTTGTCCCACATCCTTTCTAACATCTGATATTACAACATTTTAAAATATTTCCTAATTAAGTAGTTATGAACTAGGACCCAACCACTGTTTTAATTTATATTTTATTATTAAGTTTACTGAGAATATTTCCATATGTATTTGCCCATTAGAATATTTTGCCTATGACAAATTTTAGCATTTGTGCTTTCATTTTGTTGTATGAATATAAGTAACAACTCAGATTTTATTATATTGTCCAATTCTCATCTCAAATTCACCATCGTATTGCCTCAGCCCTCTAACTGCTAGGATTAAAGACATATTCCACCATGTCTGGCAAAGTATAAATATTCCAAATGCTAATGTCTTGGCAGTTAAGAAATATATTCCCCCAGTCTGTGGCTTATGTTTTCATATTTTTTGTGATACATTTTGATGAATAGAAGTTCTTAATTTTAATGTAGTCCATTCTTAGTTTTCTTAATATCTCTTTTGGAGTCTTAGAAATGTCTCTGCTATAAGAACATATTATTTCCTAGGTTTAAAAAATTGTTTCATGTACTCATTTAAGCTTTCTGTACATTAGGAATTGAGAGATTGGAACATTAAAAGACTGAATTGAAAATTGAAGCAGAAATGAAGAGCTAGGAGGAGAAATGAATCAAAAGAGTAGAGACAAGAGATGTTAATAATTATACTACACAGGTATCTCCCATAACAAAGAATTATTCAGATGGAAACGTCACTAAACCTGAAACTAAGGCCTTTTTGGTAGTGTTTTTACAAAACCAACTTAGTTGGCATCTGAAGTACATCTTGGCTTCTAAAAAGGAAAGTACAATCTAGGGTTGTGAGTGTGACTGGTTTCTGTGTTCTGTGTACTTCTTTTTGCTAACCTTGTTAGTTTTTGTGGTACAAAACTTTCAGAATTTTACAGACTTTGACTACGTGATTTATCATTATTGAGAAAGCTGTGCTTAAATCTTCTGGTATGTAGATTAGTGTAGCACTCCCTATACTTCTGTCAGCTCTTGCTTTAAATAATTTGAGGTTATATTTTTAGGTGGCACAGAATTAGAATTCTTATGTCTTTCAAGTGAATTGAAGTGTTTATCATCTTTTAGAGACTATCATTTTTGCTAACACTAAGTATTAAAATGTTAAGTTTATTTTGTCTCATCTATTTTTAGAAACATTCTTGACATCCTGTTTTATTATGTATCTATTGATCTATCGTAAGCCTTACCCTATATTTCTTTTGTCTTATTAGTGCCACTGAATTTTAGGGTGTATCTTGTGAATAGCATGAGGTTCCATTTGCTTGGAATCCAGTTGGGTATTCTTCATGGCTTAAAAAGGTTATTTATTTCAACTACATATTTTTGTATTTCTATGTATCATCAACTATTATGATTTTATTGATACTGTATGTTTTATAGTTTGGTGTCTCTATAGTTTATATTACTTTACTTTGCCTATAACACTTACAACTTCTTTTAATCACCCCCTAACACTGCAATGAAGACCAAAAGGCATTTACTACTTCTATGATCCTTTCTACATTCCCAAACAGCTCAACTGAAGGGGCCTAGACTTAACTTTTTCCTCAATTAATGATTGCTTTCTTCATGTAAATCATTATAATTGATTCCTTAATCATTATTTCACACTGAAATTGGCTCACAATTGCCCTCTTCAATCCTATTCTACTTCGTACCTGTTATTTTGATGTTTACACCATTCATTAAGAGTTTCTTAAATTTTGGCAAAAGGTTGAGGTCAACATTGTGTTTTTTGGTCCCTTAATTCTGGGAGCAACAATATCTCCAAAGAGACTAGTTAACATGAAAGATTCTATACAACTGGCAAGATGCAGACATGAACTATGAGCATTGTTCTATATGTTTTATGATTTTTGTCCTTGTAAGTAAACAGTAAATGTGTGTATAGGTATATACAATAAATATTTTTGTATATGACGCACTTACAAACATCTACCCACTAATCTACTGAAATATTGTGAATCTATACATGTGAATTTATTTCTACTTTCAATAAAATAATAATTATAATCATTGTAAATGATTGATTTTCTTTCTGTTTCTCAAATAGTGAGAAAGCTAACTTCCAGCAATCTCAGTATATTTATTAACTGTCTAGTTCCTTGTGTGTGAGTAATATCCACATAAGCTGTAACGTCATTGCCCTTGACCATTGGCTGCCTCCTTGGTTCTGATACTGTCATTGCCTCCTCAGCTGACTGCCATCAGAGAGCCCAGTACCACCACCACCTCTGGACCACACTGCTCCTCTACCCTCTGATCTGCTGATCTCTGGAATTTTCTAAAATGCACCCCAAACCTCTGTCTTAAAGGAAATTGAAGCAATGAAAAGGAAAAAGAAAACGGCAGGATCCTTAAAATCGGAGGTGAAGTTTTCAGGATATTTAAATATTTAAATCAGGTTTCAATATCCCACTTCTATCACTGGCATTCTCATTTGCTTAATTATAAAAAAAAATCTTATTTCTTATCACTTAATTGATATGTTTATTTTTACTTAGTTTTTGGTTTTGCTGAGTCAGAGATAAGGTCTTGCCATGCCTTCCTTAGCTGGCCTGGAACTCATTAGGGCTTCCAGAGGTACACTTGCTTCTGCCTCTCGAGTGCTTGGATTAAAGGCCTGCACCAACATGCCTGGCTGCTAGTGAATACACTTATTTATTTAAACACACATACACTCATTTATTTGGAACTATATAAGAGAGGAGAAAGTAAGCTGAACTCTACCATACATGTAATAATTCTTTCCTCTCTGCTTTTTGTGTTTTCATTTGAAAATAATTTTTTCTATGATATAGTTTGATCTCACTTTCCCCTTCCTCAACACTTCCAAGGTCCTCTCCACCCACCCAACTCCATGCTCAACTCCTTTCTCTCTCTGTTTGGAAAACACACAGGCAAACAAGCAGATCAAACACACAAACAAAACACCCACATGCATACACACAAGCAACCACAAATAATAGGAACAACAAAACACACACACACAAAAAAAACACAAAACAATAGCAACATCAAAACCCCCACAAAGTATACTAAACAGGAAACCCTGATATACAGGCAGAAGTCCAATAAGACAAGACAGGCCCAAGTAAAGCAATATGAGACAAAATGCCTGCAAAACTCCTTTTAGACTCATTCTGGGTTAGTCATCAACTACTGGGCATTGGGCTTACCATGAAGTGGGGTTAATACACCCAGTGAGATTCCACTGGAGAAAACTAATTTTTCCTTTGCAATAGAGGTCAGTTGCAATTAGCTTCTTTGTTAGGGGTGGGATTTTGTGTCCACTTCTGCCTTTTCAGCCCTAGGACACCATCTGGCCTAAACCTATGAAGATTCTGCGCAGCCTGTCACAATCTCTGTGAGTTCATTTGTGCTTCAGTTTTGTTGTGTCTGAAAGACATTGTTTTCTTGGTGTCCTCCATGTTCTCTGGCTCTTAAAATCTTTCTGCCTCTTCTTCTGTATAGTTGCCTGAGCCCAGAGGGAGGGGATATGATGAAGACATCCTATTTAGGACTGAGTGTTCCAAGGTATCTCGTTCACTGCACATTGTTCTTCATTTCATATGGATACTTAATTTAATTTAATTTAATTTAATTTAATTTATTTATTTAGGTTTTTCGAGACAGGGTTTCTCTGTGTAGTTTTGGTGCCTGTCCTGGATCTCGCGCTGTAGACCAGGCTGGCCCCAAACTCACAGAGATCCGCCTGGCTCTGCCTCCTGAGTGCTGGGATTAAAAGCGTGTACCACAACTGCCTGGTGTATACTTCATTATGTGTGTGTGAGTGTGTGTGTGTAAGTATCTGTGTCTGTACTCTATGTGCATGAGTGGTGCCCACAGAGGTCAGAAGACGGCACTGGATCCCTTCAGACTGGGCTTGCAAGTGGTTGTGAGCCTCCATGTAGGTGCTGAAAACCAAATCCTGGTCCTCTGCAAGGGCAACCAGCCCTAACTGCTGAGCTTCAGGCCCCCTGTCTCTGATTTTCAAGTGTGGATGCAATGTAACCAGCCGTCTCAAGCTCCTCCGTGACCTCCCTGCAATGACGGAGCTGAAACTGTGAGTACAATTAAAGCCTCCTTGGGGTATTTGACCACAGTAACAGAAGCAGGACTGGGACAGAATTTTCTGGAGATGTCATTCAAAAGTAGCTCAAGCTGGCCTTGGACTTCCTATCCAGCGGAGGTATGATTTGGTCTCCTGATCCCTTTGCTCTAACCACCAGGGTTGTTGGAATTGCAAGTATACACTGTTACAATCAGCATGCTCCTCATATTTGAATTATAAAAATAAGCATAAAGATTTAGAAGAAGGAGCAGAAGATTCTTAGGATTATCTACCTCAAATAAACCAAAATATATTTTTCATGCTGTTTTTCCTCATGCTACTTTACAAGAAAAAAGTGGTCCCTGGCTAGAACTACAGACGACATCATTAGTGGAGTGTATGTAATCTCTCTTTACGTGTAGAATATCTTCCTCCTCGGGTATTTTGCTTTTCTTATCATGTGGCAGTAAGAAAATAGATGAGAACCACTTTCCCCTACCATTTTTTTTTATCTAAATATGATCACTATCTAAAAAGATTTCTAAATTAAACAACTAAAATTTTGTGGGTCCCAAAATGTCCGAGTAAGTAAAATGACTTGCCATGAAAATTTGAGGACTTGAGCTCAAACCCTGGAACTCTAGAAAGAAGGAGAAAACTGACCTCTCAAAGTTGTCCTCTGACATCTGCACACATGTTGTGTTACTCAAGCTCTTACACACATACCCTCCCCCACACACACACCACATCTCCCACCCACCGCCACTACCCCCATTGAGCATTCATTGATACAGAAAGTAGAGTAGAGGTTATGAAGGGTATAGGGAGGAGACTGTGAAGAGTTATTTTCTAAAAGACGCACTAATTCCATTTAGAAGGATGAAAAATTCCCAAGGATAGATAGTACAAATGCTTACAAATGTGTGAATGTACCTGAAGCTTCTGAATTATACACTGAAATTTGGTTAAATGGTAAACTTTATGATATACATATTTTACCACAATGAAAGATATGTTTGAAAAGACTACTATCACATTTAAACATTTAAATATGCACACACACACACACACACACACACACACACACACACACACACACACACAGGAATATCTGGGAAATTATGGAGGACCACCTGAAGGAGAGGAATGTGACGGCAAGGCCAGGAGATAGGGTATGGATATGTGTAAAGTAGAAGAATGCACATGTATGAAGAAACTCGTTGTTTGGTTTACTTGCTAAAAACAGTTTATGGAAGTTAAAAAAAATGAAAAATACCCTAGGATAACACAAAATATGATTCATAAAATTTAAGCGATACCATTTTTTCTTTCATTTTTCTTTATTAAGAAATTTTCTACTCATTCCACATGCTATCCACAAATCCCCCCTCCTCTCCTCCTCCCACCCCCCAGCCCTCTTTCCCAAGCCACCCTGCATCCCCACATCCCCCAAATGGAGGTCTTCCATGGGGAGTCAGCAGAGCCCAGCACATTGAACCTAGGCAGGTCCAACCCCCTTCCCACTGCACCAAGGCTGTGCAAGGTGTCACACCACAGGCACAGGGTTCCAGAAGCCTGCCCATAGACCAGGGACAGATCCCGATCCCCCTGCCTGGGTGCCCCCCAAACAGTTCGAGCCAAACAACCGTCTTCCATATCCAGAGGGCCTAGTCCAGTCCCATGGGGGCCTCATAGCCACCAGTCCACAGTTCATGGGCTTCCACTAGTGTGTGATCTCTGCACATCCTCCCATCATGATCTCAATGTCCCTCACCTGCAGTATCTCTCCTCTCTTTCATCAGTTGAATTCCCGGAACTCAGCCTGGTGCCTGGCCGTGGATCTCTGTATCTGCCTCCATGAGTCACTGGACAAAGGCTCTGTGATGACAGCTAGGTTATTTGCTAGGCTGGTCACTAGAGTAGACTAGTCCAGGCACCCTCTGGACCACTGCCAGCAGACCAAGGTGGGGTCAACCTTGTGGATTCCTGAGAGCCTTCCCAGCACCCTGACTCTTCCTATTCTCATGATGTCCTCATCTATCATGCGTGATACCATTTTTTTTTAATAAAGTTACTGGCTTGTATGTAGAAAATAATATAAAAACAGACAATTTTATCTTTTCAAAACCTTTATGTGACCTCCTCTTCAGTTTTCACGAAAACAAAGATCTCTGCTTTCTCATTCAAATTCTTTAATGCCCTGTAAGCTAAGGATGTTTAAGTGAGCAAGTATAAAAAAAATGTGCATTATGTACTGCCTTCCTGAAGCAATGCAAGGAACCTTGTTTGCAGAGATTGCCACATGTATTCTCCTAATGCAGAAAGCATTGACTTCACTTCCACTTACTTGTTTAAATAAACTATTGACATCATTTCTCTTACTTACAAAAGGCATCTCTTTGATGATAAGTGATACCAATATTTTTATATTTAGACTACACTTTTCAGCTTTTTGCCAGCAAGTGATTATTTCCTCCAAGCTCGTGTTTGTTATTTAACTAGAACTAAAAATAATTCCTTTTATTTCCAAAACTTTCTTTGTATTGCATTATTTTTTCATATTTTACAAATAAGACTCAACTGGATTAGAGAAAATAGCTTTGTATTTCCAATCACTCAATAGCCCCAAGTAAAAGTAAAATCACATACTGATTTATAAATGGTTTTTATACAAAACCTACATTAATTTTTCTTCCTTTGGTATGCACTATTTTAAAATATGGATTTATAGGAAAGGAACATTTGATAAATAGAGCAGTGAATAAATCTAAAACAGACTGGTCCCTTCTATCACTGGGAAGATCTTTAATTTGAACTACATCATTTTAGTGCCAGCTTATAGTTCTTTATGCTTTTCCTTACTTCTGGATTTCAAAAGAAACAAGTTAACATGAATTTGCAGTTTCTGACTGGCTTTGATAAGTTTATTTTACTTGTTTATTTATTACTTTATTTCTAATACCATTAAGTGTCTGTCTCCCCTGAAACTCCCTCCTCTATTTCCAGTTACCTCCAGACTCCCACAGGCTGCTCTGTTAAACCTGACTTATCTTCTCAGCTATCCCCTGGAGGTCTTAGGGAAAGACCAGATCCACCAAGCTGCTTTACAGAGAAGCCTTGAAAAC